GCTTATTTGACAGTTTGTCAGAAACTCTTTGTTCCAATTTTCTGGTCATTTTTCGTTAGTAGCTGTAATTTACATAATGTTTAATCGGCCATGTAAGAATATTTTCAGGAAAACCCAAATTTTAGAGGCGAACTTGCTTGTCTCCTAAAAAGAAGAAAGAAAAAAGGACAACGGAAATAAAAAAATAGAAAACTCTTTGAAATGTAACCAGGTAAATTATGCGCTATTTTGAAATTCATTCTCGCGGCCGTGATAATATTCGGCGTGTTTTGGCTAACTTTCCACAATAAAACTAACAGCTCACTGTTTTTTCTATGTTTGAAAGCAAAAAAAAATTATTTATTGGACTTCTTGTAGCGGTTTTGAAAATCTACGGAGAAAACTTGGAGTTCTGCGTCGCCTTAAAGTAGCTTTTTCATTCAAAACAGACCGAATTTACTAGAAGGGGTCGCCCCTGTTATCTTTTCCCACAAAACCATGAACTTTTTCGCCGAGTGGTCAATAGAGTAACCACTGCAATAAGCGCTCCATTGCAGAGCAACATGATAGAGATGTTGGGAATTATTTACCGTTTTCCTCTGATCTGTAGTGGAGAGTCCAATTTGAATCAAAGCAAAGTCGTTGCTTTGCTGTTTTCGTCCCGATCGCGGCTCAGTGATGCTCAGTTTGGGAGTGTGACAAATGGAACCTGAAAAAACCGTAAACAAAAAGAAAATTAATCTTCATGTGAACTCCTCAACCACAGTCAAAAGACGTTCAAAGAATTTTTACACTGTTCAAACAAGAACCTCAGGAGAGGTTCCTGCCAAGCTTTTGCTGTGGTGGAATGAAAAATATCCTTTCCGAAACGCAAAAATCGTCGTTAAGAATAGAACTTCCGTCTGTTTACTGTCTGTTAACTACAGTAACTAGAACGTTTTCCTTAAAATTTTTACATGTATATGACGCAAACGTTTTATACCAATGCAAGAACCCTCAGAGAAGTCTTGCCTTGCACATTTCCCTTATGAGAAATGAGGGAGCCCGTTGGGCTGCTGACACAAGTTTACAGCGGCTCAATATGAAGAATACTCGCTCGTAGCTACTATGCGCATTTCATGTGAAACATTTTCCCCAAGTTACGTTTCAAAAATATGCCAGGATGTTCTGAATCTGACCCTTATGTTCACTGAGAATGCGTTAAAGTGATAAGTGCTCAATTGAGAGTAACACACCCAGAAGGAGGGAATGGGTTGGATTAGTATTAGGAGCACTGAGAGCAATCAAATGCATGCTTACATGACAAATACAGCAGACTCAGTCCTAGTCCTTCCTCAGACAAATTCGCTCCGTCTTCCTTCCCAGCATCCCTCGGGACTACTTTCCCCAGTTTTTCATCGCTTTAACTGGGAACGAGTCTGTGTAAAAATTCAACTCGATCCCTAAATGATCATGAAATAAACCAAACAAACAAACAAACAAGCACACAAAACCTGGACGAAGATCCTACTAGCCGTCCCTTTTTTTGTCATTGCCTTTATTTTTTTAGCCAGTTTTGATGCCCACGTTATCGTCTTTCTTTTGCATGGAATAGTCCTCTTCAACTTGAATGTTTTGTTTTCCCAATAAAGGTCTCAGGGGAATTTGCCCAAAATTGGGAATGATTTTTTCCCCAAATGTTGCTTGTTTTTTGATTGGTCCAAATTTATTAAATGAGGTACCCATGAAGAGATCTATCGTTGCTCATTTTGGTGCTTAGCTTGGCACCCGGGGGGGGGGGGGGGGCGGGGGACTGCCATAATTGGGCTAATGGGTGATGGCCCGCGGTGAAGGGGTGGGTTTTCAAACAGTTTACTCTGGGATGGGGTATAAAAAACAGGGGGTTTGGGTCTAGAATAGGGTAACATTTTGCGGGAACGTGATCGGTGGGTGAGAGTTT